AGGGAGAAGCAGCAGAACTGACAACCAGTTAAAGCAGTCATGAACTGTTGCTCCAGCAAATGCCCTGCAAATAAGGATAATGTCAGCATTTGACATAAACAAATCTAAATAAATCAAAAAACATGGGCCTTGAGGACTGGAATGGAGGGTCATAATACAGCTGCTGAGTGATTTCAGTAAAACATCAGCTAACTTCCTGTCCAATAATCTGGACGACATCCAGAACACAAGAATATACAGAAACAGCTTACAGGAAGGTAACACAATGTGTTTTCCATCTATCGAGCCTTTTGTCCTATTTTAAACTCTGGAAACTCGGAAACAATGAGAGTAGATAAGTTTTTATCATTTAGGGTTCATTATCACACACCTGGAAGAGATTAACGGGGTTATCAAAGCAGGACAATAGAATTGATCTAGGGTGATAATTATTTTATGGACCCAAAAGAGACATCCACTTCGAAAATTTTAACTGTTTGAAAACAATGCCTTGGTTTAAGCCAATTTAATTATATGTATGAACTGACCATGTAGCAATGACATTTGTATGCTCTATTAGTGCCACCAAGTGGTGACATTATAATCCAAATGAATGAGACAGCAAGGAAAATTTTAAAGTTCACTTTAATTTCCAAACCATCAGGATAACTTAGTGAGACATTATTGCTGTGATTTTGGGTGGCAGTTGCTTTGACTCTGTTTCAGTAGAACAAACATTTTCCAAAATAGTTCTGCAGTTGGTTGGTATGTTATCAGCTATCAGGAAAGGTAAAGCTGTTGCTGATTGTTATTTTCCTCATGTTTACTTCCGTTGCTAATGAAGCTTGGCTGTAATAAAATCAGTGTTTTTCTTTGTGTCGGCTGCTGTGACACGTTTTTCCCTGAACAAACATTCTTCCAACTGCATTCCATTTCTATAGCCTCCATTATGGTTCTAGTTGAGCAGTCAGTTTAAATGTTTTTCTATCTTCACTCAACGGCTGTTTGAAAACTTGTTTGTCTGCCGCTGTGAATTATGGGTAATTTTGTTATGTTACTGAAAACACACAGTACCTTTCAAACTCGTCCCTGTCTCCAGCGTGCATTAAAGCAACAATAGTGTTGGTGACTGATGTTCCGATGTTGGCTCCCATGATAATGGGAATGGCTGACTGTACATCCATCACTGAAGAGACATTTAGACCAGAATGAATGGTGTAAACTGACATAAACACTCTAATGCTGACATGTGGTGACTATTTTCAGAGTTTTGCTAAGTGCTGCTGTTTCTGTAGATAGCTACTTGCTAATATTAGTAAAGTAATATTCTTACTCACAACCAGAGGACACAAAGCTGACTGTGATGGAGGTTGATGTGGAAGAGCTCTGGACTAAGACTGTCACCAGAATCCCCACCATCACGCCAGCCACTGGGTTAGACAGGACAATATTTTTCTGGAAGATTTCCCCAGCTGTCCTGCCTGTAAGCAGACATTAATGGCAAACAGAAGAAAACTTTCCATTTTTAAAAATCAATTCCTTTTCTGTCCTCTAGTAAATGAAGCCATGTGCTTAACTTACCTCCTGCGAGTTGGAAGGCAGAGCTCAAAATGTCAAGTGAGCAAATAAAGATGTAGAGCAGCAGAAAGAGGAGGGGGATTTTTAGGAGAGTAAGTGCAGTTTTTTTCACTCGGGGTAGTCGTGACTGAGTCTCCATGGTCTGAACCTTCAGGAACTGTAAAATTACAAACTTTGTAGTGAATCCTAAGCAGACCACACAGGTTCTGTTCATAGTGTCAAACTATTTCTGAAACCAAGAATAAGGAGGGAAAGAGGAAAAGCCTGATGCCTTGTTTATTGTGGTAATTCAACAGGGACTCAGCATGTCTCTGCACTACTGCAATGCAGAGTTCAATAACAGCAAACAGACTAAAACAGGCTAATGCAGAGCTGGGAGCAAACAAGATTCACACCTACATGGCAGCCACACAAAGGGACTAAAAATTAGTGGTAATCAGCATCAGATTATCAGATTATATGGAAATTGATGTGACATGTTACTGTATACATATGATCTCCTTATATATGTCACCAAAATATTAGTAGCGCGATATTATCCGATATATATAATAAATACGCCTTAAAATAAAGCTAAGAAAATTCGTGTTTCGTACATAAATACTCCCCGGATACAAATCTATAAGCAGTTTGGTTTCTGTTAGTTCTGTCATGATGCGAGAAAGAGCGAATTTCTCTTATATTGGTCAATCATTTTATTTTACATAATTGCCGCTGTAGGAGCCGCAGAACCCCTTCTCAAACTGTGCCGCAGTCAGAGAAAACATTCTATATTTTCATGTAAATGTACAGTAAAAACACAACGAAACTCTTCCATTTTCACCAGAAATTGTTGTCGTTTAAACAGGGCCATAGTTTGGTGACTGTTATAAACATCGCGACCTACGAACAAAAGAGGAAATTGGTTCAGTTTTTGTCGCTTGTTTAACTTTTATAAATTGCAGCGGCTGCAGTGCGCCACAGTAGAGGTACAATAACGCTGATAAACAGGTGAAGAATAAAACCAGACAAAGCCACATCTATTCTGCTTTTTTCTCGCTCCGTGTTGTCGGCTTACCCTACGCGCTGATCCGTTGCCATGGCGATCGACAGACAACAGACCAACGAGCTGACAGAGCAGAGATACGTTCAAGTCCGTCGGAGAGAATCACCACCAAAAAATAAACGTTTCCCACACAAAAAATTACGTGAAAATACCAAAAGAGAACATTCAGCCCGTTACATTATGTAGTCAGGCTTGACGTTCATATTGCTATTATTTCGTTTGAACACAGCAGTTGTTGATTAGCTGTGTAAAAACACCTGCTCTGCTAATAAGTTAGTGTGTGGGTCGCCTTATTTTAGTGCTACGACGGAACCAAAACACACCGAACTGCACAGCACGTGTTAAGGAGGTCAGTAACAAGCTAGTAGCAGTTAGACTATCTTAACTGACCCACTGCTAACTTTCTCAATGTTTTTTTAAATAAAACTTTATAAATGTGAAACATTTGGTCCTTGTTATCTATAGCTGTCATAATGTTGAATTAACAGCAAAACAATTGGGTACTTTTTTCAGATTCTTTGCGTGATTGTTGCATTCCTCCGATCACCGATATTCCCGACTCAGTGACAAGTCACGTAATGTCCAATCCGGTAAAAATATATCCATCGATATACATCAATGCTGCCGCTTTGCCCTCTGTCTTGCAGTTTCTCTCATGTTTCCTGATACTCAGAAGTAGGTACCCGGTTACACTGAGTTGCATTCAATGTTGCCAGAAAAAAAAAGAGCTTCATGCTCTCAATGTCCGATTTGCCATAACTATTTTTTTAATACATAGTCGCCCGCTGGCGTGGCAGCAAGGGTGGCCAGGCTCTCAGTTATGGTGGCAGCTGCCACCCATGTTGATCCGCCCCTGTTTACCAACATACACTTGTTCTACTAAGAACCTCAGCATCACTAGTGTTTAAAAATATAGATTTTGTGAAGTGTGTGAGATGGGGCCTAGGTTAAATGGCCAAGTTTAAAATCAATCACTGATTATTGGCTATTATTTGTTGTGATGTATTTGAGAACAAACTCAGCTCAAACACAAAGATTACAGATAGCACCATATTGTAGCTATTGTAACACATCAATTAAACTATCAAGATGAGTCATAACTAAACTTCCTAATTAAATCATAAATGTACAATGTCTTTTTTTATTATTTCAGCTCTGCTGAACACATGAAATAAAATTTAATAGTATTGTCATTGATGACTGCTAAAGTTTTAGGTCAATAGTCTGTCTTACAATTTAACCATTTCAGCAGCAGAAACAGCAAAATTATACCTGTCAGGGAAAACATGGACTAAATTTGCTTTGCATTGCCCCCACATGGTGACAATGACGTAGAATGACTCAATTAAATATTGAATTCTTGATTAATATGGGTTGTTGCTATGTTGTTGTACAGTGTTTTAAGATACTGTACAATCTTTAACTTTGAGCCTCTGCCCTCTCCAAAGCCCTGCCAGAGTTCTTGTTTTGCTGTCATTATTTGAGTATTTGTTGTGATGATTAATAATCAATCAATCAATCAATCAAGTTTGAGTAATAAGACATACCAGAACATCACAAAAAGTTCTGAAACACTTCTCCATCAAGCAATTATCCCCCAACAAATCAAAAATGAAAGGTTTTTTTAAAAGCTGTACCTTGTTTGTGTAATTTTAATGACTCAAAGGAATGTTTGAAATTCTTGAAATTATTCTGCAAATTGAATGTGGTAATTTTTATTGACTTAATATGATTTGTAATTAAACATCCAGTTGCATATCAGAGCAAAAACTGAGCAGTGAAGTTGAGGGAATTACTACAGGTGTAGTAATGTAGCACTTTATGGTGTCAAGGCCCGAATCTGGAAACTGATACAAGAAAGGTTTTGTCTTAAACTCTGGTGACAATCATTCAGAATCAGAATAAGTCGGAACCTGGATTAATAAGCTCTTGTCAATAATTAATATTAGAATTCTATAATGTGTGTCTATCAATGATGTAAGGAAATGTGAAAAGATGCAAGGGTGTGAATACTTTGCAGTCATACTAAAGTTGTTTCCTCTGTTAGAGAGCTCTGTCAGTGTGATAATGTAACTTTCAGGAAAATTTGTCAAAAGTCAAACATGAGACAGTCGACATTTCAAATTGATTTTAATACATATCTTACATGCCAGAGCCAACTTTTTTCTATTTGCTGGAATCTTGGTTTCAGAGCCAGACCTGGTAACAGATCCGCCCATACGCTTCTCTTCCTGTCTGCTTCCAGTGCTCTGCGTGACTCTTACCTGGATGTTTTCCACCAGTCTTAACTGCAGGTTTTCCAATCGATGTTTTAGGCACTGCCCACTAAGCATGTCTGCGTCACGTGTTCCCAGATCAGAATTGTCTTTCTCGTTCTAATCGAGACAAAAGGTCTAATCCCTCTCCTCAAAGGCTTACAGCTTCTTACCATGGATCCTTGCTTGAACTGGTACAACTAGCTATTCATGATTTTACAAGAGCTTGCATGTTCAGTTACAAGGTAGTTCAATTGAACTTCCACACTATTCATGACATGCACAATTTTTACCTGTCGCCACTTGATTATGTAGCATTTAGCCTTTGTGGTGAGAACAGACTGGCAGATGGCTCAGGAAAAGAATCAGTTAAGAATGAAAGATTATGAGGAGATTGTTGCTTTTTTGGATCAGTGGGGATGTTTTCAAAAAGCCGTCTTTTTTTTGCTCTGTGCGAGTATTATCCCCAATGGATTCGGTGCTTTCAATCTTGTTTTTCTGACTGATGTACCAGATCACCACTGTTTCGTACCGGACCTCAATTTCTCAGAGGAGTGGAGGAAAAGCATTATACCAAAAACAGTAAGTCACCTCATCCAGGTTCCTAGAATACACAATATTTAATTTTATTGCAGTAATTTGCCTCCCATGAAGGAAAGTGTACAGTTGCTGTAACAAAAAATGTTTGTTCCTTTACAAGTTTCTTGTGTTTTGTGTTGTTTAAAGGTTAAAATAACATTTTAAGGCTTCATTTCTATAGCAAACCGCAAAGAGAGCCAATATCCATTAATGGTAAAGTGGGGAAATCTTCTTAAAAGGGGCGGCCATACCAAAATTACTCAGAGTTTATTGTCAACTCATTAAGGTCACAAAAGCATTCAAGACGACATCTGAAACACTGCAGAACTCAGCATTAAGAAATATGCTTAGGGAATTCATGAGAAGCAGTTCCAACGGCAAATGGCCTCAGGGTGGAAAAATGTCTTCAGGAAGTCACATTCAGGTCCACATCATTTCTGCTCACAAGTACAACGTGAATTTAAAAAATGTATGTCAAACCCAACTAATTTTTCAGTTACATACTGGCATAGAGTGTAGTTTGGATAGCTGTTTTCATTACCAGTTAAAAGTATTATTGTAAACATGCTTCAAATTATTTCTGAGGTGCTAGTCTTTGTCTGATATAAAATTTATTTTTCATAATTTGGCACACTTACGTGCAACAAAAACAGAAGACATTGGTGGTGATGGAGTCTACAAGTTTTAATTACAGTAGTAATAAAACCTGCTTATTTTACTTTGTTTTTGTCTGTGGATAAGCAAGACTTTTTACACATCGTGTAGTTGATCTGTGTTTTTAAGGTTATTTTAAAGTTCTGTTTAAGTTTTTAAAGGTAATTTAAAGTGACAACTCTGGATGTCTGGCATATGTTGCTCTCTTTGTTCCTAAGGTGCTGAATGGAAAACAAGAACTAAGCAGATGCAGCAGATACAGACTTGATGTCGTCCAGAATCTCTCTGATCGAGGATTTATTCCTGGCAGAGACGTCAACCTCACCGACCTGGAGGAGGAGCGATGTGTGGACGGCTGGAGCTACAGCACAGACGTTTACCTCTCCACTGTAGTGACAGAGGTGAATGCAATTTTTTTTCTGGTTTTTGTCTTACCTACTTGTTCCCTGATGAATCTGAACTTCAGACAGAGCTTACCTTTGCATCCTGTCTTTTTTGTTTGTCATGCTGTGTTCTGTAACATGAAACATGTTTAAATATCTGGCCGTACTGGGCCCTTCAGTTCTCTCAGCTTCAGATCAGCAATCTGTTATCACAAGCATAGTCTTTAATCTCAGTATTTATGGAAAGATAGCAATATTCAACCTCAAAATCTACTTTCAAACTGAAGGAGATACAAAATATTGTTCATGAGATGTTCCTTGCCTTTCTTATAGTGTGCTCAAGCAGAGATTGCGTAAATAGAAAAGAAAGCCACAGGAATATTTCATAAGTCCTGACAAAGCAGGAAGGCATATCGAGTTCTTTACTGGGTTATTGAAATTATTTATCTCTCACTGACAGGACAGCTGCAGGTCAAATGCTGCTTGTAACAATCTAAGATGTTAGAAAACTTAGTAAATCTTCAATGTTATTCCATTGTATTACTGCCAGGCTGCCCCAGGGCAGCTGTGGCTACAGTCCAGGAGCTTCATCAGGTGTGAATGTGTGCTTGACAGGAAATTACTGATTTGATGTCGAACATCTTTGAGTGTCAAAATAAAATGCTATGTCATTTCATTTATTCCCTTCTTGAGAATTAAAAGGAAAACTACATAACTAAGTTCTTTTTCATAATCACAGGCAAGAGTTTAACTGGTGTTGACCAATCAGATATTAGCTTAAATATGAAAGAAAACCTTCAAAATTGATCTTAGCAAAGCAACTTTTGTGCATCAGGCTGAGGAGATGACCTCTCTCTCTCTCTCTCTCTCTCTCTCTCTCTCTTTCACCTGTTTATGATGACGACTGGGAAGCTGTGCAAACACAAAGAGTTAGGAACGCACTTTACCTGATGGTTTTACAAAGTTCACTCTTTTTTAGGTAGAATGTTTCATAGTATGTAGCATAATGATAATAATGATGTTTCCTAGTATTTCTAAAATAAATTCTTCTTGTCTTCTTGTGAAGCATTGTTTGTAAATCTGAGTGAACTTTAATGCTTCACTAGAACCTCATTACGAAACGAGCAGCAGGGAAAACAGACGTGAATATCATGGGCAGCTGTCACCACTTACAACAGAGCCAAAGAAATGGGAAGAAATATGTGAAGCTGTACTGAGCAGAGATTATACCATTTGTTCAATGTGGGGTTTTAAATAAATTACATCTTTCAGTTTGACTTGGTGTGCAGTGACCAGTGGGCGCAGCCGTTTACCACTTCAGTTTTCTTTATTGGAGTTCTTGTTGGATCCTTCTTCTCGGGGCAGCTGTCAGACAGGTAGAGCAACTTTTACTTTTAACTTAAAGCAGATTTGCACATCCAGTTTAGTGATTGTTTCTGAAATATGTTTTAAAAGCTTGTTTTAATCTTCCCAGTTTCTGAGGTTTCTGACTCTGACACCTAAAACAGTTCAGTGGGTTTAATTACAGTATCTGTCAAAATATTCATACTTCCTTTTCACATTTTGTCAGATGAAACCCATAAGCACATCATTTTGTTTTCTTGGGATTTTATGTGGTTAGACTAATACAAAATTGTGCATACATATTTCACAACAAAAGTAAAAATTATAATTTGTTTTAAAAGTGTGGCATGTGTCTTTATCTACTTTAGGAGCAGATAAGCAATGAGAGTTGGTAGATATGAGGCTAAATACAGAGACGGGTGGAAACTAAGTACTTTTATTCAGTGGCAGTAAGAATTTGGGGGAAAAATTTAATTCCAGGAATAGTTTTGCTGTAATGTATTTATTACTTTTAGTTGAGTAATATAACTATGAAGTGGCATTACTCTTATTTAACAAAAAATCTGCACAATTTACTTTACTAGAATAAAACTATTTTAACCAAAAATGTAACAGATAAAGACACTCAGGTGCATTTTATTCTTGTTTATTCACAAGCTTCATTTTCCGATGTTAATTTTTATCTGCTGAGATATTTGAAGGTCAAAAAGATTCAGTAAACATAATTATCACAGAAGTATTCTGTTCTAAAAGATGTAGAAATCACCTACTGTGTTAAAGATGCTTTATGATGAAAAAATTATTTGAAAAGTGTTTATTCTGCCTTAATTTTTGTTTTAGGACCTAAAATAGAGAATTTCTTTCCTTCTTTCTCCAGATATGGACGGAAACCTATTCTATTTGCAACGATGGCTGCACAAACAATATTTACCTTTGCTCAAGTCTTTTCTACCTCATGGACCATGTTTGTCATTCTCCTCTTCTTCAATGGACTGGGACAAATATCCAACTTTGTTGCAGCTTTAGTTCTTGGTACAGAATATGATTTTAACACATAAACAATTCTCTATATATTATATCATGTTCCAAATAGTTTTCCTGTTTTCGTTTTGTAGGTGCTGAGGTTTTGACTGGTAACGTACGTATCCTTTATTCGTCTATGGGCACATGCTTAGGCTTTGCTGTTGGATACATTCTGCTTTCTGTCGTCGCTTACTTTTTGAGGGACTGGAAATCTCTCCTCATGGCTCTCTCTCTCCCTTGTCTGGCCTACATCCCCCTCTGGTGGTAGGTTACAAGAAAACTCCTTAAAATTGAATTTATAACAAGTTACTTGAAAATCTTGAAAACCATATTGCATTTTAGTGAAATTATCCCATCTAATCCTGTTTGTGGATTGCTTCATTTTGAGCAGGCTTCTCCCAGAGTCTCCTCGGTGGCTTCTCTCTCGAGGCAGAGTAAAGGAAGCCGAGGCTGTAATCAGAAAAGCTGCTCGATGGAACAAAGTTCAAGCTCCAACAGTCATCTTTGAAACTTACAGTGTAAGTTGCCCTTCAAACTCTAAAACAGGGGTGTCAAACTCAATTTCACCGAGGGCCACTTCAGCATATTGGCCCCCCTCAACGGGTCACATTGACAGT